TCCAAGCTGCCGGTGTATACCATCTTGTTACCTTCAAAGTGCTATTTCCCCCTGCGGAAAACAGGCGTCGACGTGTGGCTGTGTTGGGGGAGCCGGCGGAAACATCGACACCCTGCTGGGTTCCCTCTAATCCCTAGTTCCGGTCCTGAAATGGCATTCAGAGACTCCCTGAGACACTGCACGACGCTACTGTGCCTGCAGTGTACAATGATCTTCGCACGTGACAATCGACGTAGTCGGCTCAGGGCAGCCGTCCTTAAAGAGACTGTTGGGTTCCTCAAGCGTAAAGCTGCAGTTTTTACACTAAGTGTAGTCCACTATTTTAACCTAGAGGTGATTCATTCAATGGTTCCCGTTCAGCTGCATACTTCAAGCCCCACCCGGCCGTGGGGCCCAGGCTTTCCCAGTGGCCCACTGCCCCAGGCCCAGCGGCAGGTTCTTTTCTGTTTCAGGGGAGGTTTTAAGAACTCAATAATTGTCGTATTTCTGATGCTTTGTGTGCCTGTTTCCATTATTATTGCTTGCCAACTGCAGGGACCCGAACCTCTTGATTCTTTACTCGCCCTCTCACGCGGCTTTCTGTTTGCTTTCGTCTCCCTTCATTTCCCATTGGCTGTTTGTCTTCCGGCTCCTTGTAGGCCGCCCCTCAGAGCAAACTCGGCTTGCGTTTTCCTAGCGTGCAGCTTCCTCCTGCCGCATACAGAACGGAGTGTCCGCTAGTTCCTCCTCTCTACAGGACTTCAGCTATACCCTGACTTGCAGCGCAAAGAATGAGACGTGTTTGCCCTTCCATTCTACATCGGCAGCTGCTGCCACCTTCACTCCCTGTGAGCGGCTGCCGTGGCACCCTTGTATCAGTGGCCCCCAGGGGGGCCCCTGGGGCGCCCCAGAGGCCCTCAGGAGTTGCTGTTGCTCTCTCCGCAGTCAGCGCTGCTGTGCCTGATGCCCGCACGAAGCCACAGTGGGCGTGGGTTTGCGGTGGTCTGGGGGGACGCGTGGGGTTGAGAGGTCTGTCAACATCTGATAGCTCTGCTGAGGGGGGCGAAGTGGGGACTGAGGGGAAGGAGGAGCGACATGTTTTCCAGGCAGAGACGCAGAAGCTGCTACAGATCGTTACGCATTCCCTCTACACCGACAAGGAAGTCTTCATTCGGGAGCTCATCTCCAATGCGTCCGACGCGCTGGAGAAACTCAGGTTCCTGCAAGCAACGGAGCAGCAGCAGGAGGGGAAGCAACACCAGCAGCAGGATCGAGGGCAGCTCCGCGTCGTCTTGCGTGTTAACCCTGAAGAGAAGACATTCATCATTGAGGTATTATTTCAAGCTTAGGGATCAAACCTGGACACTTTTCCCCTGCTGTTGGCCTGACACGTGCACACACACAGAGACCCGTACAGCATTAAAAAACGCAGAATATTGAGAGGGAGGGGGTGGGAGAAAACAGCAAAGCGACTTAAGCAGGAAGACATGGAGACACGAAGTCACATCTCAAACGAAACAAGAACCGAGGCGACAGACACAAAACCACATCTTNNCTGCTGTTGCTGCAGGACAACGGAGTGGGAATGAACCGCGATGAACTCGTTAAAAATTTGGGCACCATCGCGAGAAGCGGGTCGCTCGAATTTCTGAAGAATGCGGGGCCAGATGCGAGCAAAGACATCATAGGCCAAGTACGCAGTAACGAGGTGGCGGATCTCCAGGGTTTAGGGTTTAGGGTTGTCCGTGGGGGTTAGTTCCGAAGACCGCGTGTAGTTGAGTGTTTTTGTATTGGCCGACTGCGGTTCCATTTTACACGCTGTGGGGTGCTGGGCTTGAGTCTCAGGCGAAGGCTTGCGCTCTCGCTGTTCTTATTGGGTTCATTAGGCTTAGGGTTTGGCGCGAGCGGAAGAGCAAATTGTTTCTTCTTTTTTTGATCGTGTGTGTGTTTCAGTTTGGCGTGGGGTTCTACTCTAGTTTCGTGGTGTCCGAGCGTGTGGAGGTGTACACGCGATCTCGGGACAGTGGCAAGGTGCTGCGGTGGTGCAGCGACGGCTCAGGTTCTTTTACGTTGTCTGCTGCCCCAGCTGAGTCTCTCAGCTTTCCCTCGGGCACCAGAATCGTCTGTCATTTGAAG